ACGAGGGGCAGGGTGGGGCGGGCGAGGGCGGGGCCAGGCGACTGGGTCACCAATAGGATAGAGGATAAAGAGGATAATGCATAGGAATAAGAGCGGCGATTCCAGAATGCGCACAGGAGGCAAACAGGTCACGTAGAAAGGCTGCGCAGGGTCCACGACACCCTGTCCCCGGTGGGCCATCGCCTCCCCTCTGCGAGGCTCCGCGGTCCGCGGGACCTGGGCGCGGACGGGGTGTGAGGCTTCGCGTGCTGGACCCACGGGCCGTCCGGGCCCGGGAAGCGGGTGACTGCTTTTGTAGCTCTTTGCAAATGTTTTACACCAATATTTCTTCCCTGAAGTCCAAGGCCGCCGGAAAGGGAAATTCTTCCAGTGCCTTCTTAGATCGGGAATTCTGAGAATTTTTATTTAGTTTTGCGTTTCGTGGATAATCAAACACTAACATTTCACCCTCTGGTTCCAGATTCGTTATCTGTGCCACAACCAGTTAGCGCCTTTGCCCTCGGGGGCGTCACCCAGGGCTCCACCTTCTGTGAGCCACTCCACCTCCTTCCGGTACTTCAGCGGCCCTGCGGCCCTTCCACCCTTGCCCTCTGCTCTGTTCACAGTGCTCCTCCCTCGCCAGGTCTTCACCCGAATGTCATTTCTTGGTGATTTATTTCTAAAATCCCTGAAAGTCTCCTTCTCCCTTCACTTATTTATTGTCTATTTCTCCTCGTGAAAATGGAAGCTCCATAAAAAATAGAATTTTGGTTTTTGCTTTTAATTGTGTATTTCCAGATCTATTACATAAGTGTTCAATATCTGTGTGCTCAGGAATAAGTGAATTATGTGGTCACTGTAATGAGAGCAATTGATTTTGTTATTAATAGGAAATATTTCAAATACACTAAGATTATTTTAAGTTTCTAAAGTTTATCCAAAGATGAGTCTAGGAGAAAACCTCACATTTTCAATTTGAGAGCCAAAGAACTAATTGCAGATAATAGAACCCACTTCAACTAGTTTAAGGAGAAATGAATCTATTCTATATTTTTATATTACATTATGTAATACATTGTACCTTGCAGAATTTCTTGGAGAAGCAATGAATAAAGTTTGGATCTATGCAACCAGGCGAATCACACTGGAACGATGCCCTCTTGACTGACAAAACTACTGTTGTGGACATTCCACCCACACACCTCTGATAACGGAGCAGAAAGACGCGGCCCTGTCGCCACATCTCCTGGACTCGTCTGTGCTCCTGGACTCTGCCTCACCTTGTTCACTTATACCTTTCAAATTTGTACCAGTGCTTCCCTGACAAAGCCTACTTTTAATGTTGAAACTAGCCACAAACCAGCCTGGAAAATGTTTTGCCTATTTAACCTCTTTGGTTGAGCAGGGCCCATTAAAAATGGAAGAAAATAGGTATAAGAGAGTCAAACACATTTTTACTATAATTCACCTCTTGTCACTCAACATATATATTCCTTCATTAAAACTTCTTTACATAATATTCATTTCTCATCTAGTTCAGTCAGAATACCATCTTGATATCCTAAAACCTGTAGTGTAAACTGTAAAGGTAGCTACCACCACTCCACCATGCATTAAAAACTAGGGGATTACCATTCCACAATAAAAAGGAATGAATTATTAACACACATAACTCAGACCAATTTCAAAGGCATAGTGCTAAGACAAAGAAGCCAGTCTCAAAGGTTACACACTGTATCATTTCTTTTTCTATTAATTTTATTGGTACACTTTAGGAATACAATATAATGACATTCATCACTGGAAATTTGTACCTTTATCTATTTGTACCTAATCTATCTTGGTCATACTGTATCATTTCAAGGACAGTTCACTCCACATTCCTTCACTAAATATTTACTTACATACACAAAATGGTATTATCAAAAATACCATATATTCCTTCCCGGCTCCTCAAAAGCTCAAGTTGAACTCATTGTGAAAAATGCAGTTAGTTCATCTCTAAGAGTTGCCAAAACCTTCATAGTTCCAGCTTTACTGAAGAGTCCAAGTCCAAAGTCTCCTCTGAGACTCAGGACAAACACTTTAACTGAGAGCCTCTATAAAAATCAATATGAAAGTTAAATTCCTCCAACATATAATGGCACAGGGCAAATATTCTCATTCCAATGGGGAAACATAGGGAATTAGAAAAAAAAGAAAAAAAAGAGATCAAAACCCAGCAGAAAAATCCTGTAGCTCTGCATTCAGCACCTGGGACAGGTGGTGAGCTATGGGTTCCAAAGGGCTTCAGCAGCCCTACCCCTGTGCACTCGCTGGTTGTAGCCCACATGGCTTCTATTTTGGGCTGCCTGCAGTTTGCTCGGTAGATGTTCCACATTCCTGGCATCTCCCGCTGCCTGGGTTCTCCCCTGTACCTTTACCTTCACTCTCATAGCTTCACACACTGTCTTCTCAGGAGCACATTGCCTGGCTGCCCAGCCTTTTTCTGAAACCTGAATGGAAGCCTCTGTGACCACATAACTCTTGCATTCTGTGTGCCTTAAAAACCAGCACCATGTGGATAATGCCAGGAGTGGTAGTCAGCTTGAGCAGTAGCCAGATCCCACAGAACCATGTCTGCAGCCATCTCTGAGTGCCTGGATGGCTGAGCTTGGGGGATGTTCTTCCCTAGGCATCCCTGAATTTGCTGGCATCCCAGAGGCTCTCTTCTTCTTCTTCCTCTTCCTCTTCCTCTTCCTCTTCTTCTTCTTCTTCTTCTTTTTTGAGAGAGGATCTCACTATGTAGTTGAGACTGACCTGGAACTCACTATGTAGCCCAGGCTGGATTCAAACTCACAGTGGTCCTCCTGCCTCAGCCTCCCGAGTGCTGAAATTACAGGCATGCACCACCACACCAGGCTACAGAGGCTGTCTTCTCAAATGAAAGAGTCATAGTTTTGTACCCTTGAGTCTATGATTGAGGGGATTGTGCTGATATCTGAAATATTCACAGACATCTATCTCCTTCTCCCCGTAGAAAGTACTTGGCTTTTGAGGATATACTCCTTGGCTTTTGAGGATATACTCCTAAGTGAAATAAATAAGTCCACACATGTGTAAATAACAAATAGTTTCTCTGGTGTGGAAAAATAAAATAGTACTCAAGATCCTAACGGGATAATTAGCAATGTGAAATAGGAAGAAAAGGACAGTGGGTTGGGTAGGGGAAGGGGAATAAGGGAACGGGAAAAATGTGAGAAAATGTAAAAATGGAATTAAAGTGTTGGTAGGTAGGTAGGGAGGGGAGGAGGGGGTGAAGGGAGGATGCGGACAAGGGGAAAAAATGAGAACCAAGACCTGTCATGTAAAGGTACAAGATCCCAGTAATGAATGGAACTATACTGTATACCTAGAATGTACCAATAAATTCAATTTTTAAAAAAGTCAAAAAAGAAAATATTTGGCTTCTTTTTATTTTACTAGGGATCAAACTTGGGACCTTGTGCTTTAGAGGCAGGCAGCAGAACCACTGAGCTACATCTGCAGCCCTAGTGCTAATCTTTTGAGCAATATTTTTTTTCCTTTACCCCAACTTTGCAGGCACTTCCCCTCTGGAAAAATTGCAGACTTTTCAATCATTCAGCTCTGCCCATTTCTACTGATTCACACTGTATATCTGGCTAAAAGCAGTCAGTGGTATCAATATCATAATCTGAACACTGGGCTGTCTTAAAATTTCCTCTAACAGATTAACTAGTCCACCAACCTTAATTTCAGCCTCTTGCCAAGTTTTAGGACATAGGCAAAAATGAAGACACATTTTTCTGCTAGGGTGTAACACACATGGCCTGTAGTTCAACTACCAGTGGAATCTTTGTTCCCAATCGAAACCGGAACCTGGCCTTTACTGTTTACATTTCTATCCCCATTCTGGTTTTCTGAGCTCTGATAAGAATCTTCCATCAATCTTTGCTTACTCTGTTATAATATTCTGGAATAACTTCTGGCCAGCCTCTCCAAACCTTTCTAAAGTTCTCTGACAAACCAATTCTAAAGGCTTTTAAACCACGTGGTCAGGTACAGTCATAAAAATGGCCCTAATCCTGGTACCAAATCTCTGTGCTAGTCACTTTCAAAGACTTGGGCAAAACTTCTGACACGATTTAAAGGAAGAGAGGTTTATTTTGGTTCACAGTTTCAGGAGGTTCAATCCATCGCCATCTGACATCATAGCCAAAAAGGCATGCACCCATCAGAGTGGTCAGAAAGCATAGAAAAGGAAAGAATTAGGGATAAGAATAGACCCTCCAAGTCATTCTCCCAGTGACCCATCCCTTCAGTCCAGATTGCATTTCTAAAACTTAAGACTTTTGGGGTACTTTGTAGATCTAAACCATAATATACAATCACACATATATAAGAATGAGGGAGAAAATATGAGCAGCTACAATATTTGTTTCATTTCCATAATTACTTAGGTGATTTCTCTGGTATTTTTAACTCTCTTTTTAATCAGCCTGAATCTCAGCTGATCACGATTCATTGTCTGATGGGCCAATAAAAAACCTAATTTGTCAGTGACCTGAGCTTGGGTGACCCTCATATTGAGTTGCTGTAGTCTTGCACTAACTTTTTTGGTAGGTATTACAGTACTGTTAGGCTCTCCAGAAGATCTGGGCTCCATTATCGAAAGCCATTGAACACACCTTAGTAAATTGTTTTTACTTCCTAGCCTTTTGACAAGAGGAGCCCAAAATATACATATGACAATCTCACTTTCAATTCAACTTTCTCCCTTGGTGAAATATTTCTATAATAAATACTAAGACCCCTAAACTAGCAGATACCAAAGAAGTGGATCTGGAAATTTAAAAATTGTGCATTGGCCATTCAGTGTAATCTACATAGAAGCAGAATGCAAAATGCCACACTTCCTTCACTGCAGTTTTTGCTCTCGGAGAAACATCATATATTAGATACAAACTCAGATAATATATTTTATTCCGAAGAATGCCACCTCAATGTCAGAAGATGTTTCTCAGTCGACACAGTAAATAAGCCTTCCTTAAATCATTCTACCATGCCATGAACCAGCTGCCTCTGAGTGAAGGTTTTATAGAAATACCTGTTAACACCAAGAACTGGCCTATTACTATAAAATAGCTTCTTTGTTAAAACCAGTATCGTGTGAAAAGGCATAATGTAAATAAAGCATTTGTTAAGTTAACACAAGAAGCATACTGAATCCAAAATTATGAAAATCAACTGTTATTGCAGTGAGGGAAAAATGCTGCTCATTCTTTGATGGAGAGAACCAAATATAATCAACTAGGAGAAAAACTTGTCCCCTCAGTAGAGCATTCAATACTGAGGGTTCATTATTGGCCTGTACTGCTGGTAAACTGAGTGTGCAAGCATGGCAGAAGCCCACATGCCTTAGCCAGACAGGCCAGGCAACTTTTTGTTGAGTTATTTGCAATCCAATTTTCAACCTTTAATGGTCTATTCATTGCTTATGACTTCATTGACACCTTGAGGTCACCAGAGAAAGAAGCTGACTGGTATCAATGTGGCAGATAATCCGGTTCATTTGTTATTGAAGATTTGGTGAAAATTTACATAGGACATTAATATTCTCACATACTAGCACCATCTCAGGACGTGCATCCACCATTCTCCCCAATTGTCGTTATCAGCAAACCTCCACTCCCAAAATTCCCAACACCTTCACAATACCGCCAAGCCTTACTCTTCTACTTATAAAATTACATAGATCAGCGTCCCATCTCCATCTTCCAGACAAAGTACACCAAGATGAGCCTCTTGGGAAGTTCCCTCCTCCATCATCCTTTATGATCACTCATGATTTATTTGTTAATCTACATAGGAGGAGAGAGCTAGCCTTAATTCTAAAGCTCAGAAGCATGAACTAAAAATCACAGAAAAACTTATCACCTGGAAGCAGAATGTTGTTCTGAATGAGGTAGAAAATGTCAGAGCAATTTTTCCTGTGAGACATTTTGTTCAAAGAATGCCTTCTAATAGCAAGCTTGTTTATGAACCATACACCCAATATTTGCATACCTGTTAACCAACAGTGACCTTACTGGGGACAATAGCATTGCAGGATATTAAAGCAGGACATTAGAGACCTGTAACTCAACAGCCCTTCAATCATTTTATCAACTTTCTTCTTTTAAAAGAAACTAATGAGGGCTGGCAATTTAGCTCAGTGGTTCGGTGGCCTGCCTTGCAAGCGCAAGGACCTGAGTTCAATCCCCAGTACCAAAAAAACAAAACAAAATAAATACAAGAAACTAACATACGATTGGCATGCACAGATTCTAGAAATCCATTTCCCCAGAAATCTCAGGTAAGAGCAAGGAAGGAAATAAATTTTAGCTCTTAAAGGTCAGGGATACGCAATTCTCACTCATTGTGGGATATTTTAGTCAAATAATCTGAAATTAAAAAGCGAGGTGATGGACACAAAGTTTTAAATGCTAAGCATTGCAAAGAAGTCAACAGCTACAGAATGGTAGAGCTCAGGGAAGGATTGGCCTTCAAAGTTCACTGAGCAGATCCCAGCTCAAATTCCTGAAACCTCTCTGAAGTTCTCCCTCAAGTGACATTTAGCCTTAAAAACATCTCAGTGACTGAGAAGCTACCGTCTTCAGAGGCAGACATACAACACTTAGGCAATTCTTATGGTAAAATAATTGTACTGGATTCACTGTCATTCTGCCCTGTAAAAATGTTTCTTCCAAAGAGCCCAAAATCTGTCCCCTATTATCATGACCCTAACTCTAGGGTCCACACAAGGCAAGTCTCTTTCAATGATGATCCTGCAGAGGGCTTCTCCTCAAGATAAACATTTTATCTTCCTTCCTTTATTTTACATGAGGTGATTTTGTGTGAATCTCAGTTTCCCAACATTTCTCTTAAAGTTACACTCAAATGGACTTACCAGCACTGTGGAGTCTGTGAGACAGACTAGAGGGGCTCTGCATCTACCTTCACAGCTTATTATCAGTGTGGGCTTCTGTAAGATGATAATGTGCATTAGGAGTTCACTAGATGCCCAGGAGCTCAAAAGTGGCCTCACACACATCTCCTCATTTACTCTGTGACAAAAACTTATGAGGTAGGTAAGATTTCTATCCCCACTTCAAATGAGAAAACGAAGCTATAAAAGGATAAATACCTTCCCCAAGGTCAAATACCCCATAATGGCAAAGCTTGGACTCTCTTAGAAGATTTCTGGAAAAGTAGTGAGTAGCACTGACTGAGTACCTACTGTATACCAGCACTGTGCGTCGACCTTTTCAGTGGAAAAAAATTATTCCCATTTTACCTTCAGGAAAACTGGGGCTTAGGAAAGTTTAGCAGAGTGGTTAGACACTAACAACTAGCTTATCTGAATATGCTGACTTTATATATTCAGTTCAAGATCTGATGTTTATCACTCACAAAATAACCCTACTGGATTCATTGTATCATTCTACCCTGCAAAAATGTTCAGAGCTACTACATTCATCAAAATTTGATCCCTGCTCCTTTTCTACAACCACAGATCGTATTAGGCTTTCGTGTGTCCAAAATTCCCAGCAACTTACACTATGTAGAAGGCCTAGGAAAAAGTCATTCACCCTCCTCAGACAGCGGCAGCACTCGTCGGCCTCCTGCACGCTGTGTCATCCAGCCCCTATTTCTCTGCTTTTCCACGGGGATACAATGAGTTTGTGATGCTTAAATATAGATTTGTCGGCACCATTCACATCTAGAAACCTTATAAAAAAGGAAAGAAAGAAATTAAACATTAAAAATGGCTAGGGGTGTAACTCTGTTTTACAGCATCCCTGGGTTCCATCCCCGGTACCACCAAAATACGTATCATGTTAGTAGGAAGTAATCTACAGGTAAATCCACCTTCAAGCTTAGTGATCTCCATTTTTTGCTCTAAGTATTTATGATGTTTCTGAGAAGCAGAACATTAAAATGTACGCTAAATTTTTCTCACAGTTACGATACCACATAATTATGGTGACAAGGTGGAGCTCCAGTGGTTTCCACTCGGCCTCAGGCTTCTGCACTGACCCCAGCCGGGCAGTGTGACAGCAGGTCGCTCCGTGTAGCCCACACTCGTGATCTTGGCCTCATGGGTTTCTCCAAAGATTGATGGCGTAACTTAGGATTTTGTTTGCATTTCCTACTTACATAAACCAGTAGTTCACCATTTCCTTAACTGAATTCCTCATCCCTGCAAATGATTCATCTTCTCCTGAAAGTCACCCAGAAGCTTTTGACAGATACATGCTCAGCACCTGAGGGATAAGCCTTTAAGACCACAAATGTGTTACATAATCTTTCCTGGTTTTGAAGTGCCATAATACAGTCAACAGATCTGGCAATTTTCCACTGACTTTGATTTGATTATTTGGCATTTAATCACCTTTTTATATAAAATAATGCTTCCTTTCAGTCCTGCATGATAGCGATATCTCTTTTTAAATTGTTAAATCAACATTGGGATGCAAACCTGAATTAAAATTGAAGCATCTGAGTTCTACCACAGAGATAATGACCTCTGAGAAGCAAAGAAGCTGAGATGTGATTCATTTAACATTGCTTTTTGGGAAATACTCAAATTTCAAATAGGCTAAAATGTGAAAAACATAGAACTCTGGTAGTTGAAGAAAACCAATAGTTATTGTTAAAAATAAATGTGTCCATCTTTCATAGCAGTACAAAATGGAGAATTTTCAATGGTATATTTCTGTACTCCATTCTCCATGAACCATAAGGCCTTTGATTAAAAAGAAATAAAAGTTATATCTAAATTTACTATCATGAAATATTTTGTTTAAAATACTTTTATATTTTTCAACTGTATACCAAACTTGTCCTGTGTGTTTTTGTAAAGCTGGTGTTACAACTACAGTCCTGTTCCAATTACTTTTAGTTAAAATATATCTATAATGCCATGAACCCTCTGGGAGATACAAAAGGTTACTTTCTTCTTCTAAAATACAGAATTATCCAACAGAGCTAAGTAACTGCCCTAGTAATGTCATTCTTACTGTTCCTCAGAGAGAAATGCTCCTTAAGATGGTTCCAGATGAGTCTGATTTGTAATGTGAAGGACTTTGCCTGAGAAAGGCCTGCTGGGCCCTTCCCACCCCTCATCCTGGTGACCTCCTGCTGATGGAGTGCACACACACACACACACACACACACACACACCACAAACACACTCACTCACTTTTCACCCGGCGCAGACGTAAAACTTGCACTAGCCATTTGTAGCATGCTTATTAGGTTTCCTTTGATAATTCTCTGACCCTTAGCATTTACAAAGTGATCTCAAATTTTGATGCAACAAATCCTGATTGGCATTAATTGATTTTTTCTTAGCAACACAATAAAGCAGCCTAAGAAATTAAGAGGGATCCCCTGATAAAAGATTATCATAACCTAATAAAATTTTTAAATGACCAAAACTATTCAAACAAGAACCAGCTCTGCTCCCTTTAAAATGAGAAAAAAGGGGGGACAAAAAGGTTGGGGGGGCTAAAATCGGAATACTGTGTCTTTGCAGATGCAACGAGGCTTGTGTCTTATCCACAGAGGGGAAAAGCAAGATGTGGCTGTAACCCTATGAAGAAAAATAACTTTTCTAAGAAATAGAAGAAAATAATTATGTAAACAGCATCAAGCCATCCCCGGAAATGGAGATAATGTCAGAAACTGCATGTCTGCATGAGCGTTTTAGTCTCACGCTCCAGCCTCACCCGATTGCAGTCGCCACCACCCAGCGGGCTGCGGCATGGTTCCCCTCCGCCCTTCCACAGGGCTCCCACGGTGACTCAAACTCAGAAGCTTCTATGAGACTATTAGCAACTACTGACATTACTCCTATGTTAAATAATATTATCTTTGCTTTGAAATTTCATTTTATTTAATAAAATGTAAAATTTAATGTCTAAATATCATAAACATATATTGTTTAATAACTTAAACAATAAATTAGTCACACGCTAATTTTACTTCAAACTGGCTGCACGGAGAGCCCGCGCCCCAGCTCGACCGCAGCGCCCTCTCGCTTCGGGCATGCTCTCTGCCCCTCCTGCTGGGAAGACCTATGCCCTGCGTGCTGCTTGCCCTCTTTTTTCTACGTCTTATAATAAAAATATTTTTCAATACCATAAATTTTGTTACATTAACTATATTTTAAAGCGTTCTGCTCTATTTTCTAGCCAGTTGTGAGCATTTAATTTGCACCATTTCATTCCGTTTGTCCCTTCTATCCAATGTGCTTCTGGGTACTTGTAGCACAACTGTGCACACACTGGACCCAGTACACACATATAAGACATGAGCAATTGATTAAATGTCTCTCAGATGTATAATCTTGTGTTTAAACACTAAACCTGGTTTTCATAGAAGATTTTGCCCCAACCTGTTCTTTCCATGCCAAATCCTAAATTTATTATAGAAATAATTTTCAAAAACTAGTTCCAGTGATAAGGCACACTTGGCACTGTGACCATTCACTCCAGAAAACAATTAAAATAATAAAATTGATTTTTACGTGCATAGGTGCATTAACAATAAAGTTTAGCCAAAAGCCAAGTGAAAATAGAAACCCAGACAGGAGACTGAGTTCAAGCCTGACTCTCCCCCTGGGGTCATGTTCCTGCAAAGGTGAATGCAGTTTTCTGTGTCTGCAGGTAACAGCAGATAAATCCCGGGAGGAACTTGACCAAGATGAAGAATCTAATAGGAAATGCCTCAATAAATCTAGAAGCCCAAAGGTCTAACCTGCAAGGTGCATATAAATGAGATATAAATCCAGGGGACAGCAGAGGAAATTGCCTATTACAGAATACGGCACTGAGCAGAAGGAAACATAAAATTGTCCCTTGAAATCCACATCTCCCAGCTGGCCCTCATCTGACCCTTGCAGCCTAATCTCAGGCTCCCCAGGATTTCTGGAAAGACTCAGACAAAGACACACGAAGCATTTGTGTGCTAGCAGAACCCCACTCCCCAGCACTGCCGTGGCCCCACACCCGACAGGAGCGGTGTTAATAGGTACTCACCAGGTGCAAGGTGTCACAATGTCTCAAAGACAATTCCCTAAAACATAAACTTACAGGGAAATCTAGTGAAATGTTCAAGGAAACAAGTTACCTCAGCACAGATAGCAAAGTTACATATACAGGACTTCAGATAGCAGAACTATAAAACAAAAATTAAATATATTAAAAATCAAAAGGTTCCTGAAAATAAAAAGGGACAATTAAAGAATATAAAAAGACAAAGTTAATATTTAAAAAAGGAAGGAAGAATAGAGGGCAAGAAAAAGACAGGAGGTGGGAGAAAGGAAGGACAATAGAACCTTTAGAAATTAAAAATTGAATAGTAATTGAAATGTAATAACTAAATAGGTTGTCCTTTATCATTTCCTTTCCCTTTTTCTTCATCCAGGGCAAAGATTTGGCAATGATTTTTTTTTTTTTCTTGTATCGGGGATTGAACTCAGGTCCTTGCACTTGCAAGGCAGGCTACCAAACCGCTGAGCTAAATCCCCAGCCCTGGCAATTATTTTTTAAATTAGCAAACTTCCTTTACCTAATAAGGAGCATCTACCCTCAACAAACTAACACTGGTGAAAATGTTCCCACTGGAAGGATGAAGACCAGGATGCCCATTTTTTTTTACATGTGTACTGAAGCCTTTAGTCAGTTCCAAAAAGTAACAAAGCAAAATGAACAGCAAAAATAGGGAAGAAATTTAACCATCGTTATTTAAAAATATGACTCATTTAAGAAATCCAGCAAAATCTATTATTTCTAGAATTAAAATAATTTATCTTTGCAGAGTACAAAAGTGATATGTAAAAATCTATTACTTATGTACATTTCCATGGAAAATAAAAATTTTAAAACTAAAATAATTCATGATTAATAAATAAATTTAGCATGCCCCGTAGCATTCCCCACATCTTCAGCGCCAGAGGGTCTTCTCGGCCGGGCCCTCCCCTGCTGGCACTACTGCCGCCATCTTCAGCGCCAGAAAGGTAGCCACGTGGGCGCCCCCGAACCCCACCCCCCAGCCTTCCCCCTCGTGCTTTTAGACCTCCTGATTGTGCCAGTCTTTGGACCTACTCTGTAGAGGTAGAGGTGGTTATAGAGAGTATTTCCTGGCACTTTCAACTTTGAAGGTCTTTAAAGAAGTGGTGGGGGAAACTTATAGTAGAACTGAGTGGAGTTCAATCCTTCAGGAGGTCAGGGAACTCAGTCTGGGCCTTGCAGCCTGAGCTCAGTTTGCTTTGTGGGGTTCTGCCACCAGCCTGCTGAGATCAGGGGACTCGGCTCTGCAAATGACAGCACATATTGTTTATTATGACAGCAGTGATATAGTCTGAAAGAGGCCCTTCAAACTCATTTTTGTTTCTTTTTTCATCCTACTCTGCAAATTCTTTTCTGTTTTCTTTCTGTAACTCAGTCTCTTACTCCACTATAGTATCCCTCATCTCCCTTTTTGTTTCTGCTCTTGCCTTAATTCAGTTTTCTTCTTTTATTATTTTTTTCTCTTTTCTTTATGTTCTTTTCTTATGTTATTCTAACTCACTCAAGGGTTATTATATTTCTATTTTGTTTGTTCTTTTTGAATTTAACAATTTCCTGATGATTGTCTGGTCATTCTACATCTTTTGGCTTCATATGAAACCTTCTTTAATTCTTATACTTATCTACTCCTCTTGTCTTAACTCTGTCTTAAGC